AGAACTTCTGTTGTACTACACTGACTTAAAAGTGAGATGAAAGTCACTTAAATTAATAGTTTTTTAAAAAAAGAAGGACAGGGGGGAAATGTATTGTAAGCTTTTCTGAAAGGGCCAAATGATATCTTTTTTACCAGTGAGAATAAAATAACAAAAATGAAATCTGGTCTTTCCCCATGCTTGGCTTGAAGGTGGCTGTAAGACTGGAGCATCAGTTACAGTTTTATGGTCAGAAAGAAACAAGGAATTCTGAAATGTTACAGCAGCTCTCTATACCTTGTTACTTGTCAAAAAAGAAAGAGAAAGAAAGAAGGAGAGAGAGAGAGAGAGAGAGAGAGAGAGAGAGAGAGAGAGGTAAAAACCTATATATGGAAACCACCTGCAAACCTACTGGCATTTGCAACCGAAAACCCATTAAGCTGATAGAGATTTCAGAACTATAAGTGGTAAGTGGTATTTCTAAAACTGAAATATAATGAGTTGCATGTAAAATAATCTTTTCTTTATATCATTCTATGATCCACTGGGTAAGAAAAAATTATCTGTAGGTATTTTCCCACTTAATTCCTCATCAATCAATGGATATAATTTAACAAATAAAACATCACTACAAGACATTGTTACTTTGGAGGTTTACACTTATTGTTGAATTTCTTTTCTTAAAAAATCATATGATATTAACATTTGAAAGTGATTTTTAAATTGGTAGGAAGATGAGAGGAAATCTGTTCCGTTAGATTAATGGGTCATCTTTAGGAAAACATCATAGCATCATAAACAATGGCTATAAAAGCTGGGTCTACATATAAAATTATCTGCCTTGTTGTAGCAACTTTATTATGCCAATGACCTTTTACAGGGATTATGCATTGAAAAAATATTGCACAAAACTCAGTTTGAGAAAAAAAATCATGTAAAGATCAGCAAACTGTTTCACTATCTCGGTCTTTATATACCATTAAGATGACTTTACAGGTTAAAAAGTCAAAAGGAAGTGTCTGGTTTGAATCTGCTACTATTGACAAATGGTGTATGGGGGTGGGGGCATAACCCAGAAATATTATCTCAGAAAGGAAGAAAACTCAGTCTCAGAGAATAATAAGATGACATTTCTGTATAATGACTCTAATTACAGTCAGAATATACAATCAGGTAACATTAAGTATTCCTGGATTAACAAAAAGAATAGATTCAAATTAGAAACACTGTTACCACTATGCTTTGACACTAGCAAAACCATTACTTACAGGTTCTGAAACTGACAAGAGCAAATGCCAATCAAATAAATAGCCTGTATTTAGACAACCCAGGTAATAGTTCAGTGGGGACTTCTGCAAAAGAAATTATTATTTCAATGCCAAGTCACGCTTACAGCTTTGAACAAGTAGCAAAACATGGGCATGTTTCTAAAATGGATTTCCCAGCAGCTGCACAAAAGCCGGAGGGGATGGCTTAGTGTTTTAAGCCTCAGATTTGAAATACCTAGACTCCCTGCAAACTACAGCATTAAATCCTCTGTAGAACCACAGCTTCAAATGCTATCAGGAAAGACTCAACTCTCCATCCTTTAGAGACTGATAAATTGAAAGCCATGAAGTTCAGCAGAAAAGGAGTGGGATTTATATCTGCCTACAACTACCACCCATCAACCTTACACACACACACACACACACACACACACACACACACACACAAAAGATAACAGTATCTGTAGGTAGCAGCTTTTAAGGTTCCACTGGAGATTTTAGTCTTGGAAAGACTTAAGCATTCAGAATCCAGAAATCACGAAACTCTGGTAGGCACCAGCTTCCTAAACATTAGCACTAACTTTCCAGACAACTCAAAGTGAACTGAAAATAGTTTCAACTCCCATTTAATGCAGTCAAATCCTACATGCTCACTTTAAAGTGCATTCTAGGTATCCAGGCACCCCATAGGTATATATGCATTCTATAGTGTCTGCTCCCTTCAGACACTAATTAATAGATATTTGATAAATGCTAATTAAAATAAAGCATATTACTTAATTATTAGAGTGTTCTTCTAACTCTTACCTCATTCATTAAAGTAAGAAAGAGCATTGTTATCTCCATATCATTGATGAGAAAAACGTACTTCTAGAAGATTAGATGAGCTTGCAAGAGCTGCCAAGGAGTTACCCTCAATTTTAAAATCTGGGTCTTAAGGCCTGAGATATTTGTTAAAAGAGTATTTTCCTTATCAATACAGACATTTTACCAAACAGAACTTTGTAGTGTATTCTAATCTTGAAGAAAGATAATCTTATAGCTAACTTTTAAAAATCAGTAGCACTATGTATCTGTTACATATAATTAACTATTGAAATTAGAAAGTGGAGTACATACTAAGAAAACTGTGGGCCATTTTTGCTAGTCTACTGCACATCATTAACAGATGTCCATTTTAGTATAGAGGCACCTCAAAATCAAGCAAAAGGATCCAGTTACATTGAGACACAAAGAAGTATCAGATCTAAACTATTCTCCAAAGACTAGCTGAAAACAAATAGTAGTCATACAAAAGGAAGCCAACCATATAAAATGGTTTAAGGTCTTTAGGATGTAGCTGTAGTGCTTGTACTGATTAGACAAAGTGAGTTCCGTGAGAACTACCATAGATGAGCACTACCACAGATGAGCACTACAATGACTGAGCACTACAGTGACAGAGCAGTACAATGGCCACTGCAAGCCACCAAAGAGGACAGATTCTTTTGAGACTGCATATTATTTTAAGTCTCTCTCTCTCTCTCTCTCTCTCTCTCTCTCTCTCTCCCCTTTTTTTGTCAAACCACAAGACCAGGTGAATTTCTCTGACAGGACTTTGAGTTCAAGTAAGGAGAGAATTCGGAGAGAAGAGTGGACACACCACACTGGGAGGAGATGTCAGCAGTGGGAAGAATGCAGTGGGAAGAAGGCACAGCCTAACTCAGCTTGCTACCAAGATGTTGGACTTTCCTTCCATCCACACACATTGACTAGGCCAAGGAAAGGAATTTGAGGACGAGACAGCCTGAGCCAAATTAGTGACATTATTAAGGACACTATACAAGTCCAAAACATGGGTAAAGGTTTCTTTCAGCAGAATTGTGCTTGAGTGTTTTTACAATGAGTGTGTGTGTGTGTGTGTGTGTGTGTGTGTGTGTGTGTGTGTGTGTGTGTGTGTTTGTCTGAGTGATCATGTGACAAAGTTACATTCCTTAATGGATACAATTTACAAGGTTTCAAGATTAGAAGAACTTAAAATTTAAATAAAATTTCTTTCCAGCTCAGAGATTTGTACCAACTGTGTGTTTGGGGGGATGAGACAGGGGTGTCAATATAAAATCCAGTCTACTCTAAGGGAAGATTGTTTATCTGTCATTTTTAACATCCTTGTTTCAGCTGTCCTTAGGAAAAATAAAATTTTCGACACTAAAAGCTTTATCAGCTTTGAAGTCTCTTGATTCTCAGCAGGAAAGGCAAATTAGATCCCCGGGGGTGGGGGGGTGGGGGGGTTCCCCATTCTCTTGTTCCCTTAAATTTGCCTGTCTTCCTGTCTTGCCTCTGCAAGAGTCTGGGCTCTTTCAGCTGAAGGAATTCTATCACCTAAAAATGAGCTGCAGGAACTGAGACCAATTTTCCATGTATTATATTTTATAATTTCTGAAGGCGTGTCTCAGTTCTTTGAACTTATAAATAACAACCCGGGTGCTACGGAAAATTAATTCCAAAGACAATAAGTGTTTTCCTTGCTTTCTTATTCTGTTTCATCCATCTTTCCCATCTCACCTAGCATGAGCTTTATGCTCATTAGCACAGCACAAATAGCTTGGTCCTCCTCCAAAACCCCATAGAAGGATCATGTGTCGTTTCTTTTTAATTACACCTAACTTTTTAATGGCACTTCCCTGCCTGGGGATAATTCTAGGCTATCTTATGCTGTTTAAATTGCAGATTCAGTTCCCATTCAATAAGAACCTTGAAGATTTTCTAAGCCTCACAACTCCCATCTAGTTCATATTTTACCAGTCTGGATAGATTTATAGATGCTCTTTAAAATTATGTCTTCCTTCGGCTACATGGACAGGCATCCCGGAGTCCCAATGGGATTACGGGTCCATGCTCACACATCTGTGCAGCAACTGAATTATCAAAATGAGCAGCCGGTACCATGCATGTAAGGCTCCCATTTCTCCTTTTATTCAAACATTTATTTAGTACTCAGTGGTGCCAGGCACGAAGATAAAATAAAATACCTTCAGCCAAGAATGGAGTTAGCCTTCTTGGCTGGAGGCGAAGAGTCTGCACTTCAGTGGGCATGGAAAGGGTATGTTTCTATTTGCCCAGAGTGTCCTTTCCTTCCAGCTCAGGGATTTGTAACAAAAGGACGCCCTACAAAAAGCTGTGGTGAAGAAATGATGTGTCCAGTATACCTCAAATGAGTCTGGTCCTAAGCCAAAGCGCTAGGCCTAGATTCAGTGATTATTTTAAAGTTTTGAGGAAGTACGGGGCATGAATTAGGTTGGTCCTGCTTCCTACCTTTAATTTTCATGGAAGTTGGCAAATATGGAAAAGTCAGATAGCATCTAACAGTTTTCTGAGGTTCCTAGCTCCGTGCCACTCAGGGTTGCATAATTTCACACTCATTTTCTAAGAGGTCAAACTACCTTTAAATGCCAGCCAAGAGGTTGACATTATACTTTAGTAAAGCACTAAAAGTATGTGTGTATTAACACATCAGCACATCAGCACAAAAAAGAAACAAACAAACAAACAAACAACAACAAAAAAAAAAAACTAAAAAGAGCTCCTCAGAGATGACCAGTACAGAATCAGATCACCAACCCTTAAAAAAAAAAAAAAAAAAAGGAAAAGCAGAAGAATAAAACCTCCAAAGGTCAGCAGACGGCCTCATCTCGCGAGACTTGGGAGCGTTCAGGACGAGACCAAAGAGAATCACGTATTGGCCGAGACCTTTCTCGCGCGCTGCTCCGCTGGCCTTGTGGCGAGCTGGGACTTTTCTGGCGCCGCCCAGCTATGGCGCGGAAGTTGAGCCGGTCCTTGTTGCTTCTCTTGCCGTTCCTGCTGGGGGTCCCTCTGGCGCAAGGCTTCAGCCCCCTGCCCCTAGTCCTCAACACTTGGCCTTTTAAGAACGCTACGGACGCAGGTGCGGAGCGGCGGCCCGGGGTGGGTGGCCGCGCTG